TCCCTTTATTCTGTAAAGTATGTTTCCCTTTATTCTGTAAAGTATGGTTCACTTTCTTCTGTAAGATATGCTTCCGTTTATTCTGTAAAGTATGTTTCCCTTTATTCTGTAAAGTATGTTTCCCTTTATTCTGTAAAGTATGGTTCACTTTATTCTGTAAAGTATGTTTCCCTTTATTCTGTAAAGTATGTGTCCTTTATTCTGTAAAGCATGTTTCCCTTTATTCTGTAAATTTTTTTCCCATTATTCTGCAAATTATCAGTCCCTTTATATTGTAAAGTATACAGTAAAGTTTCCAAGTATGAAATTAAGTATGTTGGCGAAGGCAGAGGGGATTTAGACCCCCTGTAGAGGGCCCTTGCTAATATTTACAAACATTTCAAAATATTCAAGTTTAAAAAGAGGGAATATAGATATTCGTGTTCACAATGTTTATCCAGATAATATCAAAACTAGATGTTTGAAATAAATCACACTAATCTTTGTCACGAATCTGACTAATCTCGAAAATAAATGTTTGCCCCTTTTTTTTAGTACAAAAGAAATTGAGTTTTTGCCACAAGTTCAGTTTTTGTAAAACCTTTATCTTTGCAACCTTATGATGTAAACCATTGATATTTCAAATTTACATTATTTGATCTAATAGCATTCATAGTTTGAAATATTAAAGGTCTACGACCTTGGGTTGCAACAATATTGAAATTAGAAAAGCAGAGTTTGTGGCAAAAACTCAATTCCTTTTACTTTTTAGCTCATCCCGATAGCTTGGGCTATTTTTGTATCATAAAGGTGAAAAGGGGGGGGGGAGTTTACAACCCCCTCCCCCAAGCTTTTGCCCTTACTCAGTGGTCCAACTATACATAAAGCTTACTTAATCTTTTTTAAAGAGTAAGACAGGTTTCTTACTTTTTAACCCTATCCCCGCTGGGGTACTTGAAAACCAGGATACGCTGGGGGGGGGGCAATTTGACCCCCCCCTCTAAATCCCATGTTTTATGTCCAAATATGACAAATGATACATCATTAGAAAGCTCTTGTGCTCTACTTTTAGAATCTGCAAAAAAATTTGCAAATTTGCGAAAATTGAATTTTTTATCGCAAAATCCAGTTTTATAGTAAAAATGTTTGCAAAAAAAAATTTGTCCAAAAAATGACAAATTATACATTTTTGAAAAGCCCTTGACCATGCCATTTCAAATATG